TTGTCTGAATATGGCGCTTATCACGTGCTGTGTGGTATCGGCGTTTAGTATCGGGGCATTTTAACGAGTACGAGTACCGGAGCTCAGTATCGGGCCTGATACCGGTGCATCCCTAGTTCAAAGGTAATACTTTTTATAAAGTTTTTTAAAACATGGTATTAAAGTAAAAAAATAAATCTAAGAATTACTATGGTTAGACAAACATGGTATTACCATGCTAAATGTCCATAAACAGTATTGTCAAAGTACATATCTAAAATACTATGGTATTGCCATGGTACTTGCCTTAAAAAACATTTTTACCATTGTACATCGCCAGAAAACATGGTATTATCATAGTCCATTTCCAAAAAACTAAATAAATCCTTGGTATTACCATGGAAAATGTCCAAAAACATAGTATAATCAAGGTATATATATAAAACACTATGGTATTAAAAACTGTTTTACCATCGTATATCTCCAAAAAACATGGTATTGCTATGGTCCATTTTCAAAAAACAAAACAAAACATTATATTGCCATAGAAAATGTCCATGGTAATTGGAAAAATATACTACCAAAGTGCATAACACTATAGTATTATCATGGCTGTGTGTCTCACGCAGTGTGTGAGTCACTGGCAGCGTGCTATATAGCTGTCAGACCGCATGCACACACAAATACACACACAGGCTAAAACTAAACCTGAATTACAAAAGAAATCACGTTTTAAATACATTTATTAAATACATTCAAATGACATTGATCTAGCAATCCCCAGCAATTTGCAAAAAAGTTAAATCATGCCTTGTCCTGGAGCATGTGGTGAATTACTGTAAGTAGCTAAAAAAAAAAAAAAACGAATACAAAATTTAAATAAAATTACAATTACAAATAAAAAGCAAATACAAATAAATCACACAGATAAATATAGAACAGTGTTGTTATACCAAAGAACAAGAACAGCACTATATTAAGACATGAAACTAAAAAAGTTGAACAAATTTTTTTCAATAGTAAATTAAATAATTAAAACAAACTCCGTAAATAATGATAATAAAATGAATATATTAAAATTTTGTATGTATATTTATGTGTGTGTGTATGAGAGTTTTATATATGAATAAATAATCATTTGGCATTCAAATACATCGCGACTATGGAAACATTTGATTTTGTGTCAAATGAGAGACCCAACGCTGGTTTCAGATTCGTTTTAGCCTAAATGAATTAGTTTTGGCTTGTCGTTTATATTGCTATAGCTTCTCTTATATTTTTAATTCTTGTTATTTTCTAAATACTGTTAATTGAAAGGATTTGTCGTGGAGTGAGGGGAACTAAAATAGCCTAGCTATGTTTACAGTGTTTATTATAATGTTTGTAAACATTTCGCGTCGGCATTAGGCCTATTTCTGAATGAAATAATAAAATGTGACTTATACTTATAACTTGTTTTGCCAATTTGCCAATTTAACGGTTTTATTTATAAGCGTAGCATATTTTAACCAAGCAGCAAAACTTTTTCTATATTTTGATAAATTAATGAAAAAAAATTACTTTTTAAACCGTTAAACTGATTGTGTTAATCGGTCAAAATTCTTACAGTCGGTTAACTGTTAACCGGTTAAAATGAACATCCCTAACTAGTATATATTACGGTTAAATCTGCTGTATTCAACAGCCTATTACAGACCCAGACTCAGGCTCAGCCTTGGGCTGACAGGTGTCCACAGGGAAAACAATGACAGACATTTCCATGCACAGCTTCAGTTCTTCTGGAATATCCTTAATAATACTAGATGAAACATACAATATACAAGCTGCAGCAGAGTTAAAAATACTCAGTGAGTGTGTAAATACTGGAGATGAGATAATTAATATTGTGAAAAGGTCACATTAAGATGTGTGCCGTCTTTTACGTATTTCGTCTCGGATAAAAATAACAACTGAGCAATACAGCGAAAATCCAAACAAGTGCAATAGTGAAGAGGACATACTAAAACTAACTCGAAGCCCACAGGTGCTGGACAATGTCATCACAGCTGTCTGGCACTAGCGCCGCAGTTTTAACACACTTGGCGACCCATTGGCCTTTACTGGTGTATGCGTCTATGAGCAACTGTTGATACGAGCACTACAGGCTATGTCTGAGTCTGACAGAAAGTGTCGAGGTGAGCGAGGAGAGGAGGGTCGCTGCAGCACAGCAGGGAGAATTTCAGCCAGACATTTACACTCAGTGAGGAGAACAGAAAGGTCAGGGGTCGAAGGGAAAGTTCACTAACGGCGTGAGCACAAACATACACAGTGGGGTTGTGTGTATGTACCTGGACCGCTCGGCTAGAGCCTTCAGAAGGAAAGACAACAAGCTCTCGGCTCCACTGAGCAAAAGAAGCAGAGGAAAGTAGAAGAAACAGAGAAGTAAGTAAGCAGCTGCTTTCACACGGCGAGCGGTTTAGTGTCAAGTTGCACTGCAAACAGGAAAAAAGCTTCATTAGCAGGCACAATAAATGTGTGTGATATTGGATGATTTGTCTAGAGGCTGGGTTATGTAATGTGAAATAAAGGCTGAGGTGGAATAAACAAGGAAAGGAGGTGCTAACTGCATTACACAGCTTCTTTCATAACAGCTGGGGAAAAGCAGCTCAGCCGCACCATCAATCTAAGAAAAGTTTAACTGGAAACCTTTACTGAACAAAAGACATCAGTGGAGAGATGGACCTGAGAGAGTTTGATTTAGAGCACAATTACACACTTGCTATCTGAATGTGGACATAACATACATGCCTGCTGTTGTCAAATAAGTCTAATTATAATAATTACAGACCAACCCATACTGGGTTTGTTGCAATTTAGATCAAAAGCATTTACTGAACTGAGGTAACAAACAAAATGTGTAATTTGAATGTAAGGAAGTATAATTAAAATAAATTGACATTGCAATTTGTAACTAAATTGAAATTTGATTAAATTAATACAGAAGAATACAGAACAACAGATAGATAAATCGATAGAACAATGGATAGATAGACAGACAGATAGAACGATAGATAGAAGGATAGATAGATAGAACGATAGACAGAATGATAGATGGACAGAATGATAGACAGATAGATAGGAAAGAGAACGATAGATAGAACGATAGATAGAACGATAGAACGATAGATAGAACGACAGATAGATAGATAGAACGATAGATAGATAGATAGATAGGAAAGACAGAACGATAGATAGATAGAACGATAGATAGATTTGAGGTAAATTGGGTCCCTTTTTGACTATCATCTCAATGCCGAAAGTGGCCAAATTTACCTAAATTCATCAAACATAAATCAATACATCTTTTTCCCACTAAAGCCATTATCTAAAAAATAAAAAGACCTAAAAAGACCTCTTAAAAGAACAGCAGAGGTGGCTCAATCGCTTCCCATCCAGGATCCATTTGGAGTCCAGTGGGCAACACCGATCTTCTGTGTGGACCAGTACAGTTTACAGAGATCGAACATCAGCGTACAGATCAATAATGAGAAGAGACACATGCCAAGTATATTACGTCTGCATGTTTACAGAGCTGATTTAGCACAGAACTCACTTCAATCAAGCCCTGTTAATCTACTGACGGTTCTCGGATCGATAGAGGAAAGATTCACTTTGATCTGTAACCTATTGTAGATGGTTTTCCGTCCTTGAAAACTGGAATTGCTTGATGACTGTGCCAGCGGAGAAATTAATTGGATAAAAAGAAGTGAGAGACCTTCGCCACTGGCTAAATTCAGCCTCAGAATAGATTGGTCTCTCCTGGCCTTTTAAACCAGACACTTAATGAGTCACGCTGGCACAAGCTTGGAGGGCAAGATTAAATTGAATCAAATCTAAGGCCCAACCTAATTGTTAGCATTAGGAAATTACAATACACGCTTTACACGCTCTAGAGATTTCAAAGTCTCAGAGTATGTGGAAATGGCCAATGGTAAATTAAATTAAAAAACAAATAACTCTTACTGTATTTGAAGTGTCTTAATGTTGCTTTTAGTGGCCTAAACGATTAACTCTCAAATAAACCAATCATACCAGCAGATGAATCCCATTCCACACACTCACCCAAACTCATATAACTGCTTTAACCACTTTGAGTATAAGACTGCTATAAATCTGATTTAGGAAGGGATCCATCAACTTATCTGCACATAGACAAAAATTAATCCGGTATAAATCAAATGAAACAATAAGGCACTAAAAATGGACTTTGTAATTTTATATAACCAAAACAATATATGAAGAGTTCATTTGCAAAGACCGATAAACGCCACATTAAAAAAAAAAGAGCTGATTGCCGTGCATTATTCTCCACATATAGCGCGATCTGAACCCTAAACACGTTTTGTCAAAAAAGATGGTTTTGTCCACTTTCAAGGCATTGCAAGTTCATGTTTTACTGCAGAAGCCGACAAGCGCTCTTGTTGTGACAAGGCTACTTTCACTTTGAAAAGACGTGCTAGCTGAGAGAAGTTTCGTCAAAGCTGACTATAAGTGATCGAGGATGGATAATTTAGATGAACTTGATGAACCTGTGATATCTTCTTCAGGGTGAAAAAGGAAAACAAAAGCTGAAATGTTTTCACGGAACCTTGCAAAAGCAGCGCGTTGCAATGGTGAGGGTAAAGCTCTGTGTATTGCATGTAATCACATCCATACAGTTTATGATCACAACAACAATGTTTGTCAGGCATCTACATTGTCATCTGAGGAGACTACAAAGATTAAACAAGTGTTTTTTTTTAACTCTAAAACATGAAACTTGGAGTTATCTGCTTTTGCTATAAAACAAACTTTTAATATGTAAGAAAAAACATACATTCAATGAACTTTAATTTTGTAAATTACCTGTATTTGTTCAAGTTATTATTACTTAATCAAAACAACCCAACTGCAGTTTGATTGATATTACTTGGAATGCGCAATTTAAAAAAACACGATTTCTGAAAAAAATTTAAAATGGAGTTTTTGGAAATAACTATTTCATATTTAACTATTGAATATATATATATATATATATATCTTACACCAACAGCGAATGCTTGAAAAAGAAACAAACAATGAGCGTATAAGAAAGAAAATAAACTATACAGATGTAGGTAGGCTTGGCTGTAAATACCCACAATCCTTGACACTTAAGCTGCCTGATATTAAACAACAGTAACAACATCATGCATTTAGCACATGAGTTGAAATAAACGTGAAAGCCTTATCTGATATCATTAGATGATGAGAAAGACAGTTCAGTAAAGATAAAGATGATAAACTTGAACAGAGCAGTTCCAATCGCAAAGCAAATCCAACATACAGGTAATCCAACAAGAAAGGTTACATCTTTATAATCCTTCTGCATGAGATCCAAGAGATCCACAAGTTGAAGTAATGAAATAGTTAACGAATGGAAATCCTCTTTTTGATCTCCAAGCAATGAATGACAACAATATGATTGCTAGTGGCAATAAAGAGTCCTTTTCGATTGAGCTTAAAACCAAAGTTTCCCAATCAGGACTTAGAGAGGTTTGTGGTAACACAGCCGGTAGGCCATGCTGCCTCTCCCAACAAATCTGACTTTCTCTACCATCCACCTGGGTAAATACAAGTCACTAGAGCACCCTAGCACTCCTGGTGGTGTGTAGTAGTATTACTCTCAGGAAAAAAAACATGGTAACTGGCCTGAGCCTGTTATTGGGGGCTCGTCCGGGATCGGTTTGTCATCAGACCTCCTATGCCGGCTTTGTGTGTGTGCATTAGTGCTGGGCCCTGGCTTCTGGCTACTGTGGGGGACTGCCTGGGCACTGGAAGTTTCTGGAGAGGACGTGTGCTTGAAGCTGTGGGGTAAGGAGCTGCTGGAGTGGTGGGAGCCACTGGCCAGTGCACATGGGATAGAGGAATGTGAGACCCAACCATCAAAGCAACATTAAATGAACTCCTGTACTGCTTAATTTAAGCACCAGTGGTTAGACAAAGAAGGGAAATAACTTTACAAATGGTGCCCAGTGGCATATTTATGGCGTTTTTACAGCTGGCTCATATGGTGCTTTAGTTTTTGGAATCTGGTGCTTTTTTCCTTAGTTTAGTTTGTTTATGCAAGAGGTGTCCAAACCAGGGGCTGGATTCACGAAAATCTTCTTAAGATAAATTCCAAGATGTTCGTAAGAATGTTCTTAAGTGCAGTTCTTGAAAAATTCTTAAGTTCTCAAATATGTTCTTAAGAAGTCTTTCTGAATACATGGCTAAAGATGCACTGATAAACTTACTTCAAGGATTGTCTTTTTGCGCTTCCTGCAGATTACTGTAATAATCATAATAAACGTGCACACTATTTCCGTCGGCATTTTTAATGCGCTGTTTTTGAACAGTTGCTTTTAAAGAGCCTGTCTCAAGCTGCAGCGATCGGTTTAATTAATTTTTGTGCTGTGATTTTGCGCTCTCTTCTGAGTGAATGGTTTCTGATGTCCGCGCTGCTACAGAAAACGTGTCCTGTGTATGGGCACATTCATATACGCTGAATATTGCCAAAGATTATGTCGTATTTATAGGCAAAAATTAAAAACGAGCTCCCTATCTGACACATTTTTGAAGAGTTGTTACTGAATTTTGAATTCAGCAAAAAGTCGCGCTACACATAATCATGACCAGTCATTGTTTACATTATCAGTCATTGCTGTCACTTCAGAAAACTTGTGCACATCCCTATTAATAGTCCTATTGTGTAGCCTATTATATGTAGCTATTGTTGTTGTAATGTTCAAATATAACAATTAATTTGAAATAAATTCATTAAATCATTATTATGGATTTAAGACAATTCTGGGGCTATCCTAACTTTAAGAAGTTATTTACAATGATTTTTAAGAAGATTCTTTTCAAGAATTTTAATTATTTTTAAGTTTTGTCTTGAGAACAATCTTTGGGAATACAAAATATACTTAACTTGTTTCTTAGGTTTCTTGTTTCTTCTAAAAATAAGAAGAAAATGGCAGTGAAGACGAAATTTTTTCTTAAGAATGTCTCGTGAATCCGGCCCCAGGTCCTGGAGGACCACTGACCTGCAAAGTTAAGCTTCAACCCTAATTAAATACACCTGAACCAGCTAATCAAGGAAACATTCAGACTCACTAGAAACTTCCAGGCAAATGCGTTGGATCTGGTTGGAGCTAACCTCGGCAGGACATTGGCCCTCCAGGAACAGATTTGTACATGCTTGCTTTATATTAAAAGTGTCACTGACCCGTTGCAAAGACCAGCCCACTTTATTTACTGTTGTTACTTCCGACAAGCCATGGCGCTCTCATGCCACACATCATGTCCTCACGTAGTGAAAAATACTTTGTGGAGCAAAGAGGACACTGACAGCGTGCCGTAAGACAAGACAGAGCACGTAACGTTTGGTATGATGCAAAGTCTCAGCTTTCAAATTTTGTCTTTTTAAAAATAATTCGAACAATAAATACCGTTTTGTGGCTCTTAAATGTGTGGTGACAGATCGCTGTAGCGCCTCAGTTCAAGAGGCACATGAACCGATCGTCTCTTCCTCTTTACTATAGCACAAAATAAACATGACTGAACATTAGAAGGTATCTTGTTTCAACAGCGGAAAGATGACAATACACACCATTTTTCAAGTACAATTCCACCAACGTTAATCTACTCTCCTGTCTGGTTTGTTTGTCAGAAAAAAGCAGATTCAGCAATATGACTGGTCAGATTGCATGTCATCTCTTCCGGGCGAAGGGTCAATTGCTCTTCTCAGTTGAATCGGGTACATTGCAAGAATGCTGTCCCAACAAAGCCTTGATTTCCGCTCTAACTGATCATTTATTTAAATATAAAAGGCTTAAATATATATTCATATATTTAAGGCAGTGATTCCCAACCACGCTCCTGGGGCCCATTTCAATAAGGAGGTTCAACCAACTCAGAGTTAAAACTGGAACTCTTAGTTGACTTACTCTGAGATGGGAAACTCTGAGTTTTCGGGTTCAGAACAGCTGAATTGAGTTAGTTCAATCGACTCGGAGTAGGTTGACTCTGAGTTTAGCGTGTACACCACAACTATGAAAAGCCATGATCAATGGAGCTTCGATATTACGATTCACCATGGCAACAGTACCCGACAAAAAGACGTCTGCATACTTCAGAGTCAATACAAATTTAATTCTTATCACTGTTATAATATCACAGGTGAAAACTGGCAGAACAGTAGGTTATTTAACTAATAGGCTATTCATTTTCATTGTATCCCACGGGCAAAAAATATATAAAATAATAATAATAATAATAATTTAAGTGCATTTTTCTTATTTTACAAATGATCTGTCAATAGGGTAAGAAAAATAGGGCAGCGGCTATTTACACTATGTGGAATTAGCATACTTACTTAGCGATAGATCCTATTTACAGTAGGCTAAGTGCAAATAGCTCTAGATGCTATTTACACTTAGTGAAAATAGTGATACAGTATATTCTATTTACCATGTAAAAGTAGCAGTTCTTTGCAATAAGTGTAAATAATAATTAGATGCGATTTATACTTTATACTGGCGGATACATACTATTTGCACCTCAGTATTGTTGTACATTTACCGGATGCAATAATAACAGAGTGTAAATTATTATATTTATAAAAATTATAAATACTTTTATCATTATTAAACACTCGCTGGGCACTTTACATACACTTTTAGAACATTTTCTTCATTTATATTGAAAATAAATTCTAATGTGATATGTGATTGGAAAAGTGAGAAGAGCGAGCTCGGCAAAAGCCGGACTCGAACTCGATCAATCACGTCACAAGCTAATTTTCCACTCCCAACGCTTTATTGCCTACACCACTGAAGTCGTTAATCATGCGGGTCGTATTTAACCTTGTGTCACATTGGAGAGCGGAGCTACTGTAAATTTGCACTTAGTAATAGACACTCCGAATAATCTTGTTTTCCATTTGCATTAAGATTATTTTTATTAAATGCACTTAATTTAGATCCCCCCAGGAAATAAGACAAAATATCTTATATATAATTTTATTATATAGAAAATTCATCTTGATTTAAGAATTTTTAGATATTTGTCCTTGAAATAAGAAAAAAATACTTAGTAAGAAAAGCATTTTTGCAACGTGCATGAATGAATGAAGTATTTAAACATCGCTTACGCTTTAAAAAGGGGGAGGAGACCGAAAGAAACTCTGGGTTTACCGAAGAAAGCCTGCTCAGTTACCATGGTAACTGACTCTGAGTATAAGTTACCTCTCTTTTAGAAACGGGCTTGACTTACCCTGCTTTCTCGGGTTTGACAAACCTCCCATTCTGAAACTGAAAACCCAGTTTCCCTCATTTAAGGGTTAAAATACTCAGAGTTTTCACTTAACCTCCTTTCTGAAACGGGCCCCTGGAGTACCAACACTGCACATTGGGCATATCTCCTTTGGCCAACACACCCATTTCAGGTCTTGGGAGTCTCTACTAATGAGCTGATGAGTTGAATCAGGTGTGTTTGATTAAGGAGACATGCAAAACGTGCAGTGATGAGGGTACTCCAGTAATGAGGTTGGGAACCACTGACTGATGTAGAGGATAATCCATGGCTAGGTGTGTGTTACACAATTTTAATGCACAACAAGTAGGCAAAAAAACACCCAATGCACAGCAAGTGAATATCAAGGTGTGTACTCTGCAATGAGAGGGCAGTTTTACTCGCATGTGATTTGCAACACATTTGGGTATGCTTTAAAATGTTGCCTTGTGAAAGTGAATGGAACCAAGAAGAGAATGCAATATTGTTACAATTTAAGTCCCTGTTTTGGAACAAAGCAAATGATGTACAGGCCTGAAAACACCTTTAAGGTGATTAGATCAATAGCGATACAATGCAGCCTGTTTCTAGGAATGACCCCTTGGCCTTCCGTTTAGGAGACAGTGGGTGAATTCTGCATTGACAGCGCTCTGTTCGGGCATCTTTTGAAATACATTCACAAGACAAACATGCACACAAAAACACACACATCAGAACTGACAACATGTTTATGAGCAGGACCCTGACCTTTCTACACCTTTCTACAACATGACAGCTGCCATTCTCTTCGGTCCATCTCTAAGAGATTCTTACCATTTTTCTGCCTTTTATATAATAGTCTATGCTCACAAGGGTTTAGTCAACATAAGAAGCTCTAATAATACTCCTTAAAGTGATGTACTTTTGAAACCTCACTTATCCATGCATTTGAAGACAGTTGGTTCTGAAGAACATGTGAACACTCTTAACATAATAGAAGGTAATTTGACAATTTTGCTAATGGTTTTCCTGAATTGCTCTGCAGTGCAAAACAAAGCACTGTTTCACTGTATGGATGGAAAATAACCCTATATGTCTACATTTAAGTGCTATACACAAAGCCATCTATTTTTCCCTTTAAAAACATTTTCTATTATCCCATGTTATCTCAGTTGCACAACTTTATGATCACTCAGTACAACGCAAATAATGTCTTCAACGCAAATCAAGACAATATAACTTTCTTTTCCATAATGCAAAAAAGAGATTGCAACTGGAAACAAGCTTAATTGGCCTGGAATCACTGGAAATCATTTTTCAGCTGCACCACCCGAGTGCTTCAAATACACACTACCATTCAAACATTTGGGGTCAGTAAGATTTTTTTTGTTAAAGAAATTAATACTTTTATTTAGCAAGGACGCATTACATTCGCAAATGACATTAAAGACATTTATAACGAAAGATTTCTATTTCAAATAAATGCTGTTCTTTTGAACTTTCTATTCATCAAGCAATCCTGACGTTTTCCACAAAAATCTGTAGCAGCACAACTGTTTTCAACATTGATAATAATCAGAAATGTTTCTTGAGCAGTAAATCGGCATATTAGAATGATTTCTGAAGATCATGTGACACTGAAGACTGGAGTAATGATGCTGAAAATACAGCTTTGATCACAGGAACAAATGATATTTTACATTATATTCAAATAGAAAACAGTTGGAACTGTAATAATATTGCACAATATTAATTTTTTTACTGTACTTTTGACCAAATAAATACAGCCTTGGTAAGCAGAAGAGACTTCTTTCAAAAATTATCTGTATGACCTCGAACTTCTGAACTTGTCAAGCTTTCAAAATGAGGACAAAAAGTCATTGTTAGCAATTTAGATGTAAAAACCCTGCAGACCTGTTATTAAAAAGCAGCATTCCTCTCTCTCCAAGTGAATACACACAGCTGGATATGTAAAATGTCCAGACAGGCAAAGCACTTTATTAATTGTGTGTAACTGAAGAATATGCACATATTTATAAACAATAACTGATAGCAGACTGAGAAGTGCACATTTTCTCTTGTTAGCATTCCACAGCTGAAATCTAGCCAGTAGGCTAATCAATAATGTTGGCAAAAACATTACCCGAACATAATGAACCAGGAAACGCTTGATCCATTCAGCCTCAAGCTACAAATCTGACCTATTTATATTCTCATAAACATCAGCTCTCTCTCTTTTGCTCACCTAGAATGAGACGAGGTCTCGCTCAGGTCTCCCATACTCCCGTCCGCGGGCGCGTGTCCGGGGGCAAGAGCTGCGCCGTAGCTCTGGGGAAAGTACAACCTGCCGTGGTCTTCCTCCGTGGACCCTTCTTCTGTCAGTTCCGGTGTCCAAGGGTGTCCCGGATCAGACACCCCGTGACCCTGGAGCATGACGCGGGCCACAGACGCACTGGCGACCCCCGGGGTCATGCTACAGGGCGCGGTGTCAATGCCGCTGTCTGTGGAGGCTCCTTTGATGTAGGTGAGACCCAGCATCTCTGGATCCATCAGGTCCCCGGAGCCGAAGTGCTTCTCATCACTGTTACTGCTGGAGGCGTTGCTGGACAGAGTGTTACTGCTGGAGTGGCTGGAGTTCTTATCGCCGCCCTGCTGGAGGACAACAGATACCAAGAAAACATTAATAATAGGGCACTTTTTTGGCAAGACATTTACTACGGCATGTTTGCTATCTTTTATAGCAACAACCTAATACTCAACCACCCAGAATACTCTAGCAACTGCTTTGCATTATTTGCATGGGTAAGAACCACATATATTTTCTTAAATAACATATATATAAATATAAGAAAAATATAAAAAATTAATATATTAAAATAAAAAATAAATCTATATGCAACACAAATATAAATATATAAAAAAATACAAATAAATTCAAATAAATAAATGAATACTTAAAAATATTTGCATGGGCAAGAACATTTATATTTTCTAAAAAAACAAACAAACAACAGAGATAGAAATATATATAAAAAAATATATATAAATTCATACAAAAGATACTCTAGCAACTGCTTTGCAATATTTTATATATATATGAGGAGTTCATTTGCAAAAACTCATAATTTTTTTTTTCTTCCAGAAATCACGTTTTTTTTTATTGCGCATTCCAAGTAATATCAGTCAAACTGCAGTTGGGTTGTTTTGATTAAGTAATAATAACTTAAATACAGGTAATTTACAAAATTAAAGTTAATTGAAAGTATGTTTTTTTTTACATATTAAAAGTTTGTTTTATAGCAAAAGCAGATAACTCCACATTTCATGTTTTAGAGTAAAAAAGAACACTCGTTTAATCTTTGTTTTATCATCTCCTCAGATGACAATGTAGATGCCTGACAAACGTTGTTGTTGTGATCATAAACTTCTTTTTTTGCAAATCTTTTTTTGCAAATGTAAAATATACATATACATACAATTTTTTTTTGCAAATGTGTATATATATATATATATATATATATATATATATACTGTATATACATACATATATATATATATATATATATATATTAGGGATGCACAATATTGGATTTTTGCCAATATCCGATATCCCATATGTTGATACCGATATATTTCCTTTTGTTTGGAAATAACACTATGTTATTCTTGTGCAGAGATTACAAACTAATTTTTTACATTTTGGATAGTTTTGAGCAAAAACGTACTTCTTAGAACTAAATAAACAATAATATAATATAATGCAATAAATAATCAATCTTTTTGTAAGAGTACATTGAAAGCTTTGAAAATAACTATAAATAAATCAATCACTGTTTTTTTTTCCAAGACAGATGCAGTGGTAATCGTAATATTTTATTTGTAGTTTTATCATTAGTAAATGGTGTGAAGCAAAAGAGATGTAAAAATTCAAAAAAATCTTTTAGAGCTCCTTGTATTTACGTTTTCCAAATCCGTTTGAAAAAAAAAAATCACACATAATGAATAAATCTGAATATATATATATATATATATATATATATATATATATATAATTATTTAATTTGCAAATGTCATGTTTGTGATTTTTTTGCATGTAAGCTATAGCTTCTGACCTTTAAATCAAAACAGATTCGTGATTTTATGACATCAATTACTGCTTTATTTATTCAGAAATACAAGTATCTTAATGTTCTTTGTGTATTTTACGTTCATTTAACATCCCCTAAATAAAACACTAGGGCTGTGCAATTAATCGCATGCGATTGTCAAGCGCATCTCGTCAGTAAAGCCGGTTCTGTGATTGGTAGTAAATCGCCATAACCTGCTTTCAGATGGAGCAGAATTTAATACACAGAACCATAGTTCACTGACATTCTAGGCAATATTGCCTAATTGTCAGTGAACTACGGCTCTGTGTAGTAAATGTCGCTCCATTTGAAAGCAGGTGATGGCGATTTACTACTAATCACGGAACCGGCTTTACTGACAAGATACGCATGACAATCACATGCGATTAATTGCACAGCCCTATAAAACACCTTACCGGATGGGAATTAGAACCCAGGGGAGGCTTACCGATCGATCTGCGCAGCGCAGCTTCAAGTCAAACACACCTACTGTTGACTCTGTCGCAGACTGGATGTGTCATTCTGTACGTGCATTCTGCAAATGAAATGCAGCGATTCAAAACAGTGAAACTAACCACCATTCCGGCAAAAGTTTGCTTCAAGAATGACCACACTGCTGACGTGATCTTATCATTATTACAGCCTGAGCACATGTGAGCTATTCGTCTTATCGGCCAGGCATATTGGCATAATTTTTCATATCGGGCCGATGCCGATATTTTTATTTTAAGCTTTTATCGACTGATTCTGATAATGTTCCGATAATAGCGTGCATCCCTAATATATATATACAGTATGTAATATGCGTAATAAAATACATATAAATAATAAATATATACATGAGATATAACACTATAACACTGCCAGCATAAGTCGCAAGGTTCAGTGTTCAGAGCACATGCATTAACAGCTAAGATGTGGGTTTAAACATTATACAAAAGAAACAAAAAAGTAGCTCATTGCAAAACAATACATATCATCCCATTGTCTACGTGACATTTTGTGCAAGCGTGCATATTTTCTGATCTATAATTCTAATTAGCAGATGGAAAACAGGCCATATCTGCTGTCATATTCTTTGTCATTTGACACCATCTTTAGTCCAAACTAATATCATGCCAATTTAAATGTACCACTGCACACTGCAAAGACCAGCACAACTAATTACTGAGCTAATGAATAATTCTGTGACTGATAATGTATGCAAATATGTGCTGTACATATTCAAGTATCATATCCAATAAGTTTTTACACCATTTTACTAAAACTCATTCCAAAGCTCATTCCTATGGCATGTTCTCTAATGCTTTTCTCAGTTGCTCTGAAGACTTTAAGATCTTGAGGATGTTTAAGCTACAGAAAATGATTTGTGTTTCTGTGAGGAAGAGCTATAGGCGGTTTGTATCTGTACAGCCTTTTAACAAATATGGAAAACCATGAAAGATTAAAGGACCGTCTCATTATCCACGTTAAGTGGAATGAGTTTTACAGCTGCATTAATAAGTGTGTTGGATCATTTCATGGCAGTCTGTATAAAAGCAGGTTTAATGTCAGGATCAGTCTCTTAATTATGTTTGTTATTGTCTGTTTGCCTTCTACCATCTATATCAATAACTTACAAACCTTTTAATCTTTGAAATGGTCTCTAATGTCTGTTGCATTGTGTAAAATGCTGTTGTCCGTATCCGCTGGGAGATGTACATGGCTCTGCTCTCTTGATTTATTACGCCTATTGTCTGTGCACTAATTAATGAATACAGCACATATTTGCATACATTATCAGTCACAGAATTATTCATTAGCTCAGTAATTAGTTGTGCTGGTCTTTGCAGTGTGCAGTGGTACATTTAAATTGGCATGATATTAGTTTGGACTAAAGATGGTGTCAAATGACAAAGAATATGACAGCAGATATGGCCTGTTTTCCATCTGCTAATTAGAATTATAGATCAGAAAATATGCACGCTTGCACAAAATGTCACGTAGACAATGGGATGATATGTATTGTTTTGCAATGAGCTACTTTTTTGTTTCTTTTGTATAATGTTTAAACCCACATCTTAGCTGTTAATGCATGTGCTCTGAACACTGAACCTTGCGACTTATGCTGGCAGTGTTATAGTGTTATATCTCATGTATATATTTATTATTTATATGTATTTTATTACGCATATTACATACTGTATATATATATTAGGGATGCAAAAAATTCTCATCCAAAATTTATATTTCCAATAGTTAATTTGAATTACTTATTTTAGTTACCCATGTTAATCTATGGAAACTTCTAGTTTCTATAAAAAAAATAAAATAAAATAAAGGGTTTGAAAACAGAGCTTTATCATTACAGCAGATGTACCAGAGGAAACTATGAGAGAATTAGAGGAGGGTTTGGATTATTGTAGTG